ACGATGGTGAAAGTAAAAGGCCGAAGTCAGCAGTTTGTGCTGCCTGCGCACAGAACTCCCCGACAACCTTTTCAGGCGTTCCGCGCTTTTCATGTTTTCAGCAATAGCCGAATTGTGTAGCTGAAAGCCTGAAAAGCATATTGTGGAGTTCTACTCTTCGGGTTCCAACTACAAATTAGCGGCTGAAGTAGCTCGATGTTCGGGCTCGACGAAGCGTGATCACCGAATGATATTTCCACTCTGTCATCACACTTCGTCGGGTTAGCCAGAGAAATTACGGTTGACCAAAGCGCACTCACGCCTGACGTGATTCACAGATCGACAGCATCATCAATGGACATGTTAATTTACTGGTAGAACCGTATCAACTGGAAAATTGGTGCGGATTTTCTGACTAGCGTCAGAAAGTGATGCAGATAAGATAGAGTAAGCACTGTGACCAGTAGGTCAATTGTGCCCTCAGCTCATCACAAAACCCCTAGGGTTAGACTCTATAAATTTCAGAATGGATTCCATGGGTAGGCTTGGCCATAGATGCCCTATACTCCTCTCTCTTCTACGTAAAACGGCCTCACACTCCAGAATAAGGTATAATGATGTCTGCTAGGCGGGGTCACAGAAGCGACGTAGGTCGCTAGCTTACGCAAATGGCCGCTTAGCCTACAATGGTCCGTCAAAATGCCTGCAATAATTCTTAGTTTCTCCTTGACGCGGACCGGTGGTGCTACGTCAGTGAAGTTGTTTCTGTTTAGTATTTTCCTTTCTGAGCGCTTCTTCTATCGGTCGGGGACCTATCGAAAGGAAGGAAGGGCTCAGGTTCTATCGAGGTCGAGGCAGCAGCCATGTTGGCTAACTGATCGGCTTCCTCATTTCCTTCAACTCCCATGTGCACTGGTACCCATGACAATTGGATATCATTCATTTCAGCCATGGCATTAAGCTTCTCTATACACTCTAGGGCCACTAAGGCTTTGACCTCGAAGGATGAGAGAGTTTTGAGTGCCTCTTGACTATCACTTAAAATTAGTTAAATCTGCATACAGACTGCTGGCATAGACTTCCGCGTGGAAAATGCTTAGAAAGGTTCCTACGGCCGCCGAAAACGGCAGTCTTAGGTCATACATATATATTCATACGCCTGGCTACCTTAAAGTTTCTTTCGAAAACTACTATCTATGCATATCATCTGTGGGGAGCAGAACTAATGGCAGCTGAAAGCCTTTATTTTTCCATACATATACATATGTATTTAGGTTTTATCGAAATTATAGCCAATTTTATTAAATTTTCACAATTTTTACAAAATATGCGTAAATAAATGCACAAGTACAATAAGGGCACATTTACTACATATGCATACTGTGTATGTAAATGCAAGTACGCATAAAGAAAGACACATCAAAATACAAAAATTCAAATTACTCATTAGTAATTCCACAATTTAGCGGCGTCGACGACGTCTCGAACCGCGTCGACTGCGGCTCCGGCTACGAGCAGCGCGTCTCTTTCGTCGCCGCATACCACGATCTTTCAACTCGCCACCACCGTCCTCGGAGTTATCCTTATTATCTTTCGGTTCGAGTTCGCCAGCTTCTTCGACAACGATCATATCCAAGTCAACCGGTGCGGCATAGTACTTCCGCTGGCGGCGTTGTATAAAGCCGTAGCGGACGCCACCATTTAAAGTCTCTTGCACTGATTCCTTGACATCATTGGGATGCACCTGCGGAGGGTATGGAAAAAAATTAAAATTTAATGCTGTGTGCACCGCACCGGCTTTCCATTGGAAAACTCTTAAAAGTAAAATTGTTACTTACGCCAGCTGTGTCAGCGATATGCGTTACAATTTTGCTGGCCGTTACTGGTTCTTCTAGATTTTGCAAAGTTTGCAGAATTAATTGCCCATTTTGATTAGCCATTTGTTGCGAAAATTCAAAAAAAACCGTTTCGCCTGTCTGTATTGTCCACCGGCACGTGAGCGCTTATTAGTTGGTTTATCAGTGAGTTTGTAAAATTTAGCTGCCAATTCAAATTAATTTTTTGCAAAATTTGGACACGATGTGTACGAAAAATTTAAATTTATTTTGCTCTAATACGACAAAGAAAAATCGTTTTCAATACGATGATTTTTTTTTGAATGAAAGTTTTTTGAAGGTTTCCGCCTTGATTAGAGATTAGTTGCGTTTTTTTACTCATTTCCAGTAAAATCCAGTAAAAGTTTTTACGAATTTTCATGTTTTGGCGTTTTCGTACGCAAAAACTTGCAAAGTAGGGGAAATTGAGAGAGCGAAAAATGACAGCTGAAGTTGCAAGTTTTTACTGGATTTTACTGGATAAATTTTTACTTGTAAGAATTTGCCAGTACGAAAAACAGCTGATCGCATGTTGCTGGATGAAATTTAAACTAATAAGGAAACTGTTTGTGGATTTTTATTGTGGAAATTTTCAAAACAAACATATTTAAATATAAAATATATCGTTTTATTGGGAATATGCTGCGAACAAACAACCAATTTATCAGCTGTTCATGAAACTTGCAAATTATTACTGGAAAAGCGTTCGCGTACTTTTTTGCAAATTTTTTCTATGAGAGCGAATTCTTAGAAATAAAGTTACTAGAGAGTTACTGGCAAGTTACTGGATAATTTGTAAAAAAACACAACTATTGTAGACGAAAATTTGTTTCGAGTGCAAGCATGGTGAAATAATAGGTGCGTTCGTTTAAAATCTCCAACAGAAACCAACCAACTGCCAAATTCCGGCGAAATGTCATCTGTTCGCTCACAAGAGAGAAATATCCAAAATAGTACGCGAACAGAAAATTTGCAGAAACTTGCAAGTTAGACGAACAGCTGATATAATTTTTGTTTACATTCAAAAGTGTAAAATTTAAAACGTACGAAAACTCATTACAAAGTGGCATCCTGGCACAGTTTATTGATTAAACAAATAACTACTTACTTCTTACAAGTTTAATTAGTCGCATTTTGTAATTTTTAACTTCCAAACCATCAAATTCAATTTTGTGATTTGCGTAAATGCCAACCAGCTGTTTTTGATCAGCTGTTTTCCTGTTGGCAAATTGCTGTTGGCAAAAATTTTTCCAGCAGAAACCAGCAGCTTCCCCTCAAAATGAAATGTCACTTTGCTCTCTCAATTTCCCCTACTTTGCAAGTTTTTTGCGTACGCGAACGCAAAAACTTGTAAGTTTTGGTTAAACATGAACAATTAACAGCTACGCGAACGAACCTAATAATAAGGTGTTGTCACTTAGGGGGTGATTGTTGTAATTTTGGCAATTTCGGCATACCAGCGTTACAGTAATGCCTACTCTATTTATTTAAATTTCATTTCAGGGCAAAAGGGGGGAAAAAAAGAGGAGCAGAAAATGTTGTGAAAAAATTTGCGTAGGTATCACTTACTACGTTTATACGCACGTATTATTTGCAAATAACAATTTCAAAAAGGGTAAACTTTGCTGTATAAACGCTGAGTTAATTTTTTATTTGCAAATAACTAAATCACGCAAATAAGTATTGATTAGTGGTTTTATTTGCAAATAAGCGCAAGACGCCGCCATTACTAGGTTTATTTTCTTTTTCGATGGTCATCTTATTGCCTTTTAATAATCAAGACGTTGCCATTTTTAACTTTATTTTCTTTTTCGATGGCCTTTTTATAATTAGGCAATATTAAAAAAGAATTTTTCACCAACGAATAAACAGTGGGTTAGGTATTCGTAAATTATTTTTATTTGCAAATAGCTTACGTATAAACGTAGTAACTGTTTCTTTGTTTCGCATTTGCTTTAACTTTTCTTTTAAAATTCATTGGAAAATTTGAGCGATAATTTCCAATAATTACAATTTTGTAAGTAAATTTTTGATAAAATATATACTATACATATCCAACAGATTATTGGAGCAGCGCCTCAGATGGCTACGATAATGTGCTTTGGTCTAACAATGTAAAAGCATAATTATTTTATAATATAACTGATAGAATTCAGAAATTCAATTTTAAAATATTAGCGAAAATAAAGGTCGTAATTTAAGATATTTAAAAACTAAGTACGCATATATATGTACTTCAGAACTTAAGGACAAAATACAAATCAAATTCCATACGGGCTAGTATGTAATTTTTAGTAGAATTTAAGAATAATTAAATAAAGAGAACGGTATAATTTAATTTGTTTAAATATGAATAAATGAAAGAAGGAAATAGTCCTTATTTTTTAAGTATTGACCATCATCATGTGTGTGTGGTACGACCGTGTGACCTTAAAGTTTTACAAATAATAATCTTAAGGTAGAAAAATATAACTGAATAATAATTATTAAAATGAATACATTTGATCGAAAGAATAAAAATTAAGTACATAATTATTTCTTTTGAGCGAAAAAATAAAACTGTAATTACACTGGTTTACAGAAAAAATATTTTATTGATGCAAGCTTCATTTAACTGGTGTGGGGTCCTCTGATATATGTATGTATTAGAAATAGACCCAAAAAGTAGAAAAAGTAATCATAACCTTTTCGCCCTTTTTCCACTACGCATGGCCACAATTGGCATGCAGAAAAGGTGAGGTTATGTAAGTGACATCACCTTATATTTATTTCACCATGGGTTTTGCCGATATAACTTTCATTTGCGGTTTATAAATTCTGTATATCAATAGTAATATTATTGTGTATAAATTCAGTATAAATTTACAAATAATTTTCAATTTTTTTTTAATGGAACAGTTATCCTTTTACTACGACAACTTTAAAAATGCCGTTTTAAGGCAGTACAACGTTTACAACGTTATCTATTCGTTTATGAAAAAGCGGTTCTACAAAATTTAAATTATTAAAAAATTAAAAATGGTTGCCCGTTTCATTTCGTTATGAAAATATTTCCCGTACATGCAATACTGACCGAATTTCACCACATGGTATATTCACCACTCACCGCCGTGCACAAATGCCGGTAATCAGCTGATAAAACGTAAACAAAAGAAACAGCTGGAATGAAAAATCAATCGCATCAAAATTTGAGATATGAAATGTAAATTTAATAAAACAAGCTTTGAATTGAGTTTAAAAGCTATTTTTAGTTGAATACAAGTTAACAAGTGAGTGCATTAAATAAATTAACTGCAGAAATATAATCTACTGATACAGTGCGAGTGTAAAAATCAATACAAAAGGTGTAGCACTTGTTGCAAGCCAAAATAATTGTTTACAATCGTGTGCTACGAGTCTAAAAACCAAAAGATATTGATTATACTTCGAGCTAAAAAGCATTAAATAACGCGCAGTAAGTATGGATGATTTATTGAGATCATTTGCAAGTATAAGTAGTTATGCTGCATTCGTAGCAGCGAGAAGCATACTATTTTGAAGCTTCCGCCCCACCGCCATGTAACCTCGTACTCCCATTCAGTCAACTACTCCAGTGTACATTGCCTTTCCTCTTCAACTATGTAGCATGTAGTTGAAGGAGAACTGAACTCGAACTAACCGCTGAGTAATTCACAAACCACATTAGCCAATGCAGCGGGCGCATCAGGCGTCAATGCCATAGCCTATGGGGGGCAGTTGTGTACATCAAGTTAAGCGCTTCAAAACTTTTCAATTCCGTTGCAAACACAACAAACTCCACCGGCTTACGATTTCCTTTGTTCATTTGAAATAAAAACTTTTAAAATATCGCAATAAAAAATCTGCAAATAAGCTGGAAGTGCACAACAAGTGCAACTTGAGTAACAGTCCTACGTCTGCTGCAGCATATAAACAGCGTTAAAATACGGGTAAAATATGCAATGTGTGCAGAAACTAAAAACTTTTGTTTTGAATTAAACAAAACGGAGTTCACAAATACAAGCCGTATAAAATCTGTGTAGAGTTAATTCCATAAGTGAGCCAACTAAACGACAGTTGACAACGCATATGCAACTGCCAAGCTCAAAATATTCACTTGCATAATTTGAACTTTTTAAATTACTTTAGAGCGATGCTGCGTTTATTTTACTACATGCAGTTTGTAAAACATCAAAGCTTGAAACGTATTTTGTGTAGGTACATAGATGAAATTATTATTTAATTTAACCGACAGGATAACCAAACATCGCACGTTGAATAGTATATAGATGTAACTCAAAATTTTGGTTCTTATGGACTTCATGATGAAATTGATAAAGTTGATAAGGGACATTCCAAAGTGACGGGTGGGACATTTTAACTCGTTTATGCTCAAACTTTTAGTAAATTCTTTTTAACTGTTGATTTGACAAGTGTCAAACTGTTAACACTTCACGTCAGATATCAGTTTATTACGAAACTGATAATGGCTGCGTTTCTTTATACATACATTCCGGATAATCCAATTTCACAGCCGGAATAAACAGAATGCGTTTGAAATATACGTCAACATATCATCAGGAACGTTCTAAAGAATAAATAAACAAAAAAGTTTATTCCAAACGTTCAGAATGAATAAAGAAATGCAGCCAATGTATAAAACTTAGTTATATAATTTACACAGAAATTTAACTTTGTTGGATTCGTTTCCCAATTTTAGAAGAACTAGAAATATTTCTTTCATAGCAGAATGTTAAGTACCATTTTATCCTTTAACAGCATTATAATATTTTAAAATACAAAAAAAAACCTATTTTAGCTTCTTATGGGTGGGACAACATTTGGTGACGGGTGGGATGAGTCACCTTTGAGGACACATAGTTCGGAAGTAAAATGCAATATTGCTGGTTTGAAGTGAATATTTATTATATTTTTAATAAAGGGACTTACTTCATTCAACAAATGGGAAACTTAAGAATTTTGCTGTGACTGGTGTGACATTTTTTTGAACGATTATAATTTCTCACCATAAATGTATGTATTTTTCTAATAACTTAGCACCATTTTAGAGTTCATGAATTTTTCTTTCTTTTTTGATAATTATTCTTTGCATTGTCACCTTTAGTACATGAGGAATGCCTTGAAAACTTGATGCAAAAATATTTCAGCATATTATACATATATGCATTTTTAACAATAAAATAGGGAAAATAGTGAAAAAGAAATCGATAAAAATCAATTAGTAAAGAATTATTCTACCTGATTTACTGTTTTTACAGATTTAAACACAATTTATGTAATTTATTTCTTTACCTGAGGTGTCGTCTTCGCTGGAATAACCCATAAGTAGTTAATACAACTTTGATTGCGTTTGCCCTTCGTGGAATTATACCAGGTGAAGCAATTAGAGCGCGTATAAAGATTTTGCCACAGCTTATGTGAAAAATTACCTTAAAAGTTTGACTATAAGACAGCCGAATTTCAGAAAATAAAGTGAGAAAGCTGTTTTATTACTTAACCTGTATATTCCGCCATGGCGTTTTCCCACAAAATTGGTAGTGAAATTTGAAATGCATTACCACTATATGATTAGTGGCTATACATTTTTGAACAAACATGTTGCAAGGAGATGGGTATTAAAATCAATGATCGCCAAATTGTCCTAAATTTGTAAACCAGTGTAACAAGTCAGTGGTAGCGAAATTTTCGTTCCTTTACCGCTAACCAGATAGTGATAGTTAATATTCTATTTCACTATCACTATGTAGTGCTAGTGAAATTTGAAATGCACTATCACTAACCATATAGTGATAGTGAAAATGAAATTCAATTACTCATTGATCAATTAAGTATCGGGAACAATTCCCTTTTTAGTCCTATGCGGTTTCCTGCAAGCGTCGCTGAATTCGATCGACGACTCCCCACGGTAGTCTGGCAAACGTAAGGAATAACTCATATCTACAGCAGATTGTCTGAAAATTCCTTGGGACAATTTTATGCTCTTACAACAACAACCCGATTGGTAGCGTGCGCACATGATAAGGTGGAAAGTCGTTGGAAGTTCAGAAAGATCGTAGCATTGTCGACTGTATAAAAAGCTTTTGGTGAGTTAACAGCAAAGTGGACCGTTCTGTCGACGATATGTTTCCTGTCTTGCGCCCGGGCCTAGCGCTTGAGAACCTTTGGCGTTGATAACAGCAGCCGTTTTCTCAACTAGTGAAGCACGGCGGTATGCCTCGGGTGCGGTGTTGATGTGCTCTACGTGCCATAATGCGTCGTGCTTTGCTCCTATCTGGATGCACCACAAGATTGCGTCCTGCGCTCTCCTTACGCGGTGTCGGGTTGAAGAGGGATTTCACCGTCCTATAACTTTCTAGCTCCGCTGGAGTGGTTATAAGTTTAGAGATGCGTAAATGCACGATTTATGGAGGTGATGAAGTCATCAGGCTGGTGAATAGTGACTTCAATTAGCGAGCCAAGCTAATCCAATTTATCACATCCCGTTAGCTATGGTTAAGTCCAGAGCACCAGTGGTGTCACATGGTTATATAGGGTAGTTAGGTGGGCAGTGTTGTTTAGGTCGTTTTTACAAGCTGGGCTGGTGTATGCGGTTTTCGGATCTAGCCTGGCACTGTTAAAATAGGCGCGTTCTGCCTTTCTAAGTACTTAAAATACATACACACTTAATTGTACTAAAATATTTCTCTTCTAACTTAAAAAAAAAAAACATATACTAAGCTCATACGTGTTAGTTAAATACTTAGCTTGTAATTTTTTTATTTATTTGGTTTATTTTTACCATAGTTGCCAACTTGATTTCGTGCTTTTTGAAAATTAAAACGCCAAAAGAAATGACTTAGTGCCTAGTGCCTTTTTTAGGTTTTTTTTTCTAATCTCAAATTTCTCATATTTAGTTAAAACATGAAATAATTTGAAATATTTAAAGCTATGGCAGCACTAAATTTAAAATTATTTATTTATTTTTTTTTCTAATTGTTTATACATAATTTTATCGATTACACAGTTCGACAAATTTTGTTTTTTTGCCACCTGAGTAAAATGCATCGGTTATTGTAGATCTATTGATGAACTCCTCCCATACTAGGCCCGAACTGGTTCCCAACTAATCCGCAAATGGTCCTGAATAAGCCCCGCCTTTTAAAACTAAAAAAAAAAATTTATAATATAAGTCCCAAAATAAAAGTCTTTGAAGACTTAAAAATATTTATCTCTTAGCTGATCATTATTATGAAAAGACTTTCATTATATTACTCTTAAAATAATAGTTATCGAGGACTTCAAACAATTTTCTCACACATAATTATTATGAAAGGACTTTTATAAGTCCTTGAACAATAATTATAGATGACTCGAAAAATTTTTATCTTAATATAATAATTATTGATTGACTTTTAGTCTTTTCTCCTATAATATTTATGCCTCTAGGCTTTATACTTTCGATTGGTATATGTATATGTATGTAATTTGTTCATTAAACAAATGAGTGCAAAATTAAAAAAAATATAATATTTTTTGTATATTTAATTAAAAATATCCTGGCCAGGATTTTTTCAGCCAACCCACTGGCGAAATAATTCCTAGCACGTTAAATTTCAGATAAAGTAGAATTCATTCGTTAAACAGATGGGTAAAGAGCGTGCCTTTGTCGGACCTCCTACTATTTATTATGTGCGAAAAAGTTTTGTATATTGATTTATACTTGTAAATATTGTTTATTTTTTACTTTTGTTAAATACAAACTGTTATGAAAAAAGTATCTTTTAATTTAAAAAAAGTTTGTGTTTTTAGTATGGTAAAACGCTTTTTTCCGAGTTTTGGTGCTTTTTGAAACTCAAAAGTTGGCAACACTGATTACAGTACATAAGTATATATTTATAGTTTTTTTAGACACAAAATAGCGCTGCTTAACAACTTCGCCGTACTAATAAATAGTCATCATTGCACAGTGGAATGCAATCGCCATAGCATTTTACATAATTTGCCGTCCTAGACGAATGCGCAATGCACACCATGTCCACCTAATCTGTTTATCTACAAGATAAGCTCTGGCTATGAATCTGACGCTTAACACAACAGAATCTAACAAGCAATACGAAAACTAGCAAAAAGGAAACCAAAAAACAAGAAGAACGAAATTAAAACTTTCCAATCTGCACACAGACAAGTTGTTTTTTGACAAGTGATACAACTGCGGTGGCAGCTAACCGACATCTCCCTACTCCTTCATCCGTGCACTTATCAACGGAAATTCAGCTGGGCACCTCCTCAAGTCGAGCAAAGAGTGAAGAGCACCAAAAGATGGCAAGCGACAACATTGCCACAACCGACATCAGCCAGCAAGAAGAGCGGCAACAGGACGACAACTCTCGCATGGCAATTGCCGGCTGGCTAGCGACACCAACAGAGCACACAACAACAACAGCTGCGCCGCAACAACAAAAGCACCAGCAAGCACAGGGTTGTGCGGAAATATTAGAAGCACTATTGGGTATTGCGGTGCAAACGAAAACGGAGATGACAACGGAGCAGTCAAAATCAGTGGTAAAACAACAACAGCCGGCACTTGTGGAATTGAGCCAAATCGAGTTGATCTATCGCGCGGAGGGTAATGCAAATTTGGTGCTAGCATTGCCGCAATTTAAAAAAGTTTTGCGTCTGCCAAAAACTGCGCTGCCGAGCACCGAGTACAACAACATTCAAATTCAAATTGGTAATACACAACAGCGGCGGGATGTGGAAGTGGTCGATGAAGAGTGGCAGCAACATCAAGAGCAACGACAACAATGGCAACCACAACAAACTCCAGAACAATGGCAATTGCAACATCAACAGAAGCAAGAACAAAAACGGCAGGAGGTAGTCAAAAGTGCTTCCGACTCGGCTGTAAATCAAAATGCAAGAGGTTAGTTTTTGTGGCAGGATATTATGTGGCGGCCGCTGTTGTGTCCTGGCGATGGCGATATCGAGCCGCAGTCAGGCAACAGAGCGCCATCAACACTATCCGCATTTTTGCAAGGCATATACATACATATGTATGTATGTAGATTGTATGGGCGGCATATTGTTATTTTTATTTTTGATGGGCAGCTCTGTTGGTTAAAGTTGGCACGAATCTCTGCCGAAACGTGTTTATTTCATTTATTTGTTATACAAAATTCCATTGCATTCGCCTTCGGTTGGTATCGCAATTGGCAGCAGCTATTTCTCGTACCAGATTTTGCTACCCACCAACTTATCTACATGCATACATAAATACTTTGGCTGCTGCGCATAGTTTCATTTCATTGCTGGTCATTTTATTGTTGGCTAATTTATTTCAAATTGTAACCGCAATTGCAGACTTGACAATGGAGGAGTTTGTGGCTTACATCGAGGTAATACGAAATCTGCTTGGCAATGAATATATATTCGAGACAGAGATTGTGCGAATAGCGAAGGAAGAAGACAAAAGGTGGATAAACGAGCAGATTCGTCCGGATCGGCCAGGTAAGTGGCAAGGGGAGATTCTGCAAATGAGTTCTGACAAATATTTATGTATATATGTGTGGATAAAGGGTAATAAATTAAACCGACTATATCCAGAACATATGTATATGCACATTAGGCTGGTTCAGCACTGTCTCTAGTTAGTCAAAGGAAAATCAGATGGATTTCTCTATTTATACTTTCATGCGGCCAAATCAGTGATATCGCTTCGGATTCATACAAAGAGGCTTCTTCCTTCGCCAATACGTCAGTTCCTTTCTACATCCGGGAATCCTGACAAGACAGACAATCACCGACCGAGACCCTGAACGCAATTCCATTTTGCATTTCTTAGCCAGTTGGTTACCGGAGATTCTATTGCTAATAGCGCAATAAAAAAAATAAGGGAAAACCATCGAGTTCCTCAGAGTAGACTCTCGCGCCTAAACCTCGGTTCATATTGAGTTTGTTAGTGTAGAGCCAGAGAGTAATAGTCACTTTATCGGCCACACGATCTGTTCTCCACGATTCTCGTCTGGGAGGAAGCTTGGCTACCGTATAATCTGTCGTCCCTTCTAAATGCATTTGCTTCACGAACTCCTACTCTACGTCATAGTCACTTTTTTCGGCTGAAAATCGATAGGCACTAGATTGCGAATGGCTTTAGTGGTTATGTCAGGCAAGATCTTAGTTTTCAAACATTATATTGCTTATTTAGTCCAAGCCACAAAACCAGGATGGGTCCCATAATAATTTTTAGCCCTTACTATGTATTTTCGACGTTGCTTTTCCAGTTAAGTTTGATGTTCAGCACGGCTCCAGGATACTTTTCGCCGTCAGGAAACGACAGTTTGAATTGAATTATTTGTATCGTGTTTGTAGATAGAATAAGTTCTATCTTGTCTGGTTCTAGGGTTCTTTCGGGAATTTCGATAATGGTTGAAAAGAACGGGTCTGCGGCTCCGGCGTTCAGCACTATTACCAGTAACAGCGGTTAATGCATACCATCCTGTGGAGTGCTTCTCTCTTAAAAGAGTACGCTTACAAGACAATTCTGGCTAAGAAAGTTGAAAGTGTTTTGTAAGACAATGTATTTCAATTAGGAAAGATAAGTAGTTCGAACGACTTTGTTTATTACGGCACGAAAGTCTTACAAAAAAGCTCCTTTGCCAAATTTCATAGTGAAAAGCTCTTTTGACAGAAACCGCTGGTATATCACATTACTCGGGGTGCTCCAAAATTCGCAACGTAAAAGTGAACAAAGCACTCTCGTGACATTTGAGATACCCAAAATTCGAGTCCTCAGGCTGCGGAAGTTTTTTTTTAAATTTGTTTATTTCTTCTTTTTTATTCAAATTTTCTTTAAATTTTTAGTTGTTATTGCTTTCGGAAACAAAATATATAAATACATATACTATATTTTTTAAATTTTATTAAATTAAAAAAAAATATTTTCTCTTTTTAATTTACTTAGAGATTTTATAGTCTTAGAAAGATTTTTTTTTTTTTAATATCTAAAAGGATATTTTTTCCTGCTTTTTTATTTCAATCTTTTTTCTTTTTTTACTTTTTAGATTTTATGGCTTTAAAAGGAAAAATATTTTTTTATTTAATTTAATTTTAAAGAAAGCAATTTAAGTTAAAAATTATTTTAATTTTTTGAATTTTATATGGGAATTGACAGAAAATAAAAAAATAATTTTCCATTTAAATTGCTCGTGAAATGTGCTGTTAGTTTTATTAATGTTGATTAATTTTTATTTATTTATTTATTTATTTATTTATTTACTTTCCTTTTTATTTTTTAGGTTATACTACTTTAAAATGAAAAATATTTTTTATTGTTTTTAATTTAATGTTCTTTAATTTTTAGATTTTATAGTTTTAGAGACTTTTTTAAAGTTTCATTTGATATTTAGAAGGATATTTTTTCTTCCCTTTTTATATGAAATTGTCTCTTTTGTTTACTTTTTATATTTTTTGGCTTTAGAAGGAAAAATATTTTTATTTAATTTAATTTTAAAGAACTTAGTAAATTTTTCGATCTATATTAGTAAATTTTTTTCTTTTTTATTTACTTTCCTTTTAACTTTTAGATTATATTACCTAAAAAAAAATATTTTTTTTTTGTTAAATTTCTTTAAATTTTTAAGATTTTTTAGATTTTAAAGTTTTGAACTGAAGCATATTTTTATTATAATTTATGTAATAAGGTTTTTGTTTTTCGAAAAACTGTGGAGCGTGAAAGATAGTTGCCAGAATTGCACTGCTAGCTACATTTGTTGCCCGATTGATTCTATTATCTCTTTGTTGATAAAAATAAATCTAATCAAATATCTACTATCGATCGCATCCATCGGAAATATTGTTGCCAAAACTTTTTAAATTCTAGTGTTGTCTTTTAATATCGTTTGAAACTGTTTTATGTGGATCTTTCTGAGGACGAAATAAACAAACGTGCAACCAACTTTCCAAAAATGTTCCGTAAGTTTCAAAACAGTACTCGGAACCCAATGAAAATGTTGTCTTTACGAGTATTTCCTTATCTGTTTTCAACTCTCTCAACCCAAATGGCAAGCAGCTTTGCATTTATTTGCTATTTGTTTAATTTTATGCAACATCATTCCAAAGCAATACTCTTTTTTCAATTTTCTCGAAATTGTTATGTATGTATGTATATGTATAGCGTCAAGCTGAAAAGGGACCACACAGCCAGTGAGTAGCCTCAATTTTGCTGCATTTGCACTTTTTATTGTATTCCGTTTGCCACGCCCCGCTTGTTGCCGTTCGACATTCATTGGATTTTGGCTACTGCTTCCGTTCTGCCACCTTCCATCGCTTGCAAGCAAATGCAGGCAATCGATCATAAAATTCTTCTATGCACTACGCTACACCATATAGAAGGGGGCTGGCGGCTGGTGGCTGGTCTAGATCATAAGCTAGTCGAATGCACTAAAGTCGCAGTGTGAATGATTGTAGCATTATTTCAGTAGTTGTACAATGTTGCCTCCTCCATTCGTTTCAATTACAAAAGACATTGCTTGCGGTAAATAGAGAGTGGGGCACGGAGGCGTCCCTTGGGTGGTAACAGCGTTCCCAGCTGACTTATTAAGCATTTTAGTACTCGCCAACCGAACAATGATAAGCAGCAGATGGCACAAAGTGTTACATGTTGCCGGCCGGCATGCCGGGGCTGGTGCATGGAGATAGATGGCCACACTCGTAGAAGTTAGGAAGGTAAGATGATGGCCATGTGCTTTGGGTAAATGGTGGCTGGTGTAAGTGAGTGACACACATGCTTGTAGTGCAATATTTCATTAATGTTAACATTGTTGTACGTATGTACATATATACATATGTATGTACATTGTAAATGTTGCTGTTGCTTCTACTATGCCGAGTAAAAGTACTCCGCCAGTTTAGCTGCTGTGACCATAAAGTAAAGCAAAGCAACCATATTGTGCAATATTTAAGGGAATACCCATTACTTTAGCTTCTCACCTCCCTCCGGAAATTCATTTTGCTCCTACAAATTTCAGCGTTTTCATCTATTGCATTTTTTTTTTTACTGTATTTGCCCTTTTTTTCTATCTCTTATTTTTCGTTTTTATGCTACTTTTATCGGCGTTTTCGGCTTTTGACGACTTCCGCCCCGACCTGCCTCCTGTCTCCCACAACTCAACTGCCGTTGCTGCTATTCAACTATTGCTGCTGGTGTTATTGCCGCTACTACGTTTGCAGCTCATCGCCAGGATAAAGAATTTTGTGGGGAATTCGGTTTGTTGCTGCCAGATGCTACACGCTTGCCAATAGCATTCGATATTTTAGTTTCCAATTTGCAGGTGAGTTTGGCAGCGCTGCCATTAGATGAATTATGATAGTGTTCAGGTGTGCTGTTGCACGAAACTGATCTCACACATACCAATGTATGTTTACATATTTGCACTAGAAAAAAAAAAACAATTCACCAAATTGCTATTGTGTGTGTATGTAGGTGCTAAATCCACTCGCTGTGGGCATTGGTTATAAATACATACATACTTCTTTTGCGCAATTTCTTTTTGTTTGCTCGACTGGGCATAGAACAACACCAATTTCGGCTTCTTTATTGCGCTATTGGTGCAACGTGGTCATGCAACAGCGGCAATAAATCATCGAACTTGTTTTTCATTTTAAAGAAAAGCGAAAAGAGTGGATTGCATGTATTGTAGGCAACAACGCACAATAAAACAAAAAAATTAAAAAAAAAAAATGCAAATATGATCGTTAACCTGGTTTAAAGGCATTTTTCGGTGCTATGAGCACTTTCAAAATTTTATTGGTTGTGCTGGTGAATTAGTTGGCATTTTTATTATGCTGAGGCTTAAGGGAAAATTAATATTTCCTAAAAAGAAAACAATGTAGCAAAAATAGTTTTATTGGGTCTTTATGACATGGAATTCGTGAAATATGCTCAGTTCTTAGCAATAGCAAGAGAAAAGTTATATATTTTTGTGGAAAAATGCAAAGCGCAATGTTAATACATAAGTGTACCGGCCTGGCGCTAAAACGGCAAACGTGAATTTAAGTTTTTAAATAGGTGGCAACCCACTCTTCAAAAATATTTTCAAACCAAAATATTCTTAAATCTCTTTCGGCTGACTTTCTGATAAATATGTATTCCAAGTGAATTATGAATTAATTTTGATTTGACTTTTTAAACAGGTGCCAGCCCTCCTTCATACATACCTTTAGAACTGAAGCTTTTTCAACACCATTTAAATGATGTCCATCTTTTGCGTATTCATTTAACATATTAAAAAATTTAAATGTAACACAACAAAATATTTTTAAAAATGACGTTGGACACATATTCCAAGTGACTTATGAATTAATTTTAATTGGACTTTTTAAACGGGTGTCAGCCTCCATAGTTTAGAGGTTAAGCTTTTTTAAACGCATTTCAAATGATTCCCATTATTTAAGCATTCATTGAACATACTAAAAATATGAATTTATATTTTTAAATAGATGGCAACCATCTTCAAAATATTTTCAGGCTAAAATCTTTTAAACTTCTTTCGTCTGTTAGCTATATTGTGATACAAATTTTAATTCCCTAATAGCCTGTAGGGTAGCATACGCTCCGCTACAATACCTGTGCCCACTTGCGAATTGTGTAGAATTTTCAGTTTCCAAAATTTTGATGCTTTCTCAGTTTAAATTAAATAAATAACTTAACAAAATAATAATAATGCGGTAAATTGTGCTAAAGACCCATAAGTTGTTGTCGAAGTTGAGTATAGAGTTTTATTGTCCAGTTTCATAGTCCTTCTAATGATCTTCCGAGGGCACTGAAATTTGAGGACATATAATTCAGTAAATCTCGGTACTTAGCTCCGACGAAAGCATTTAAGTATCGAACGCAGTTTTCCGCATTCGTTTTCTTATATCCTTAAGTTATTTTTAGTGATGAAGAAAACAGAAGGAATAAACTAGTGGTGCATCGAGTTTTTCCACCGGATCTTTGACAAATAATATTTCAGCATCGACTCTCCCTATAACTAGCCGTTAAGCATTTCTGCTTGGAATACCTTTTGAATGATCTTAAATTTCGACTTTAAATAGCGGAGAAAGCAGACGTAGGCGGACAGTTTCGCCGGTTAAAAACATGGCTGCGTAGTACCAGGCTGACAGAAAGTTTTTGGGTATGAAGTCGTATAGCTCATTCGATTTCAGTACAAAAAGTGAACGTTAGAAGTACCTAAAAATTCGCGTAGATTTTTGTGACTTCTTTTGGTTGGAGACGTTTCGCATTTTCATCCAAACAAAATACTTACATATGTTCTAAAATACTTGTACTCGAAGAAAATGCACAACTTCGAACTTGCACCTTATTATACTGAAATTAAATTGGCTATAAAAATGCATGCCCAAAACTTTTCTAAAAAATCTGACTAAAAAATTTAAAATTATGAAAGCAAATTTTTGAAACTGTTTGAATATTCGCGAATATCTCATTTATTGACAAATTTCACGTGGCAAAATTACTTGATTTGTTTATGAACTGCGAATGAGCCGTAAGCTATGATAATGTAAAAATGCTTTATAAAATACCCTTTCTGTTCAAAATTTTCAAATCGCTAAAATGAAAACCCCGAAAATTACGCTGTTTGACAAAAATCATGTTCATTTTTTCGTTGTGTAGTCAATTTAACATTATTTGACAAGTGGACCCAACTTATATCTATACCTATACTTAAACTTATCCTCATCCTTACACTGATACTTATATTTTTACTTATTCTAATACTCGCCCTTATGCTTACCTTATCACATCAGACTTCAAAGACAAACAAAAAAATCTCAATTGTAAAACTGGATTTTCGATTGTAAAATACCATGATGCAATAATGAAAGGTGTTGTACGTTGTGACAGCTCGAAATCGAACTACCTTAGGTCAATATTGTATTTTGGAAGTACAAGATAAACGGGAATAAAAAAAAGCCTTTTAGTTGAAAAAGTACTAAATTGTATGCCTTCTCAACAGCGTTCCGATTATCAGAATAGGTATATATATGGCTTGGTAGTCTCATAAAATTGTAGATAATTAAAATAATAAAATTAGGCGTGTTTTTATTCACAGGNCATGGTAAAATACATACATATGTTTAAGCTAGGGCAGTTATTGTTTTATGATTGTTCCCAGTTTTATATTTTACACACGTATTTATCCTCTTCCATGCAATTAATTAATTTCTTTAACTCCTCCAATTTGTGCAGCCAATGGAAAGAACAATATGCATTTAATTTTAATTTGAACTCGCATGAACTGTGCAGCCTTAAATCCGTATCTTTCCTTTTTAAATGTATTGTAAAATTTATCCTTTGCCTTGCTTGCTGTTTTCTTCATTCGCTTTATTGTTGCAAATGTACACTTGCCGCCAGCTTTACTTGCACAATGCCGAGCAATTAACAATGTGGTGGTTTGTTTTTTCTTTTCTTTTCACAAAAACAACAACAACAAAATGTGCCACCAACTACAAATGGAAAACATTAAAAACAACAATGTCGAAATGGAAAACATTTTAAAATTAACAAAAAAAAAAACACAAATGCAATCGAAGGCGGAATTGATCGGCGTTACGTACGCCATTGAAATCAAACCGAAGCAGGGTTGGCTGCTGCCGACTGATGTCGTTAACAATTTATTTGACCTGAAGAAGCCAACGCGAACAAATACTATGGCCACGGCGACAGCAACAGCAGCGACAATAGACGACCAGAAAGTAGCTGGAACAGCAGAAAACAAGGCTATAAACGCAGACAGCAGCCACGTTACAAGGTGTCGTTTCTGTGCGATGCAATATCTGAAGGTAGGTGCAAGTGTGAGGTGCCATCAAGCAAGCAGGCAAGCAAGCAGGCAAGCAAGTAAGCAAATGCATAAAAGCGAAAGAAAATAAAGTCAGCGCCCAAAGTAAAATAATACAACTTCGCTAGACAACCGGCACACCACAGCATTGCCGGCAAACAATTCCGTTTTCCGTCGCTCATTTCGAGAAATTGCCCAACAGCATTGGCCGCCACGTGGTATGAGCAACATTGGAGCTGTCATCACTCATTCGCCCCCCCCCCCCCTGGTGCATGCATGCAGCAGCACGTTGCCGCAGCGAAAATTGTCATTGAATGCGCTGTGCTTTATTGCGCTGCCACGGGTATTTTGCGCTTCTGGTCCACTGCTGAAACGTACTTCTTATGCAAATTCAGTCGTTGAACCGCAAACAGATTCCCTCGTCCTACTTGCTATTCACTTGCTACTTTTTCGTAATATATTTTTATGCTTTGCTTGCTTTTGCATCTTTTTTATGTAAAGTAAATACATACATACATACATATGTATATGTATGTAAGTAATATTTACGTGTTGCGCTTTTTACGTTGATTTTATGTTGCCCCTTGTGGCTCTATTTTATTTCCGTTTTGTTATTTCCATTATTTTATATGTATATTTTCCCCTTTTTTATTTTCATGCAGCTGCGCGCTGGTAAAATCAACAGGCGTACTTCTTATTGCCCAATGATGCTATTTTCCGGGTAAGTTGTGTGGCATCTGTTGGAATATTTTGTAGAATTTTTCTGTTTTGCGTTATACAAAGTTACGAAGTTCTTTTTGTTTGTTGTAGCAGCTTTTGCCAAAACGAAAGTTTTGGTTTGTTGCAAAAACACTTTTCATTTAAATTTTTGGTAAGAACGTAAGTGATATCAATTATTTTTGAATCGTGATCATCCACAGCGTGCCCGCTAGAATGCTGGCAGCCTTAGATGCTCTCCTGCGATGCCCACAAAATAATTTAAGAATCTTCCGTAACGGAATTTCCATATACGACAGTGAACACCAATTATATGAGGATTTTGTTGAAAACTATTTTCCCAGGTAAGTATGCGTGTAAAGTAGTCATAGCGCTCTCAACTTTAATATTACGATGCGGTATACTTTCAGTAATAAAGTAAATTTAAATAGGTGCCTTTTATGCTTAGTAGGTTTTCTGGGCTAATTTAAATATTGAAAAATTTAATTTCTGTTGTAAGTAATGGTTTTATAGCACCTTTATTAGACGTTTACTGCTATAGTAAAGCGCGTTGAGTGCTGAAAACGTATCTTTCGCAGGTGACTGATATTAGTGTCAGCGTAAGTAGGTTTAACTAGGCCTGTGAAAACGTATGGGTATGTCGGGATCGATACTGGATAAATACGAGCCTAACCTGCAATGGGGTACAACCGTTCTTCTGAGTATGCAGTTGGACGGCTATACTTAATCCCGACTCTTGCGTCCTCATTCGCGCACTCCCGTGCTAGATGCGGTATCCAATCCGACTGGAGCCTTGGATCACGGCAGAGAGAGAGAGAGAGAGGTATCTTCGGTGCGGCCACTCGGTTCGGTTTAAGGGCTCACTGAAGTCTTAGGCGTTTGTTCGCCAGTAAGTGCCGCAGCAACCGGCGTCCGTCTTGGAGCAAGCGGCTCGCTATTGGTAGGTGCGCTGTGTGCGGGACCTGCTACAGTAACGAGGTCGTAGTTGCACAAAACGTACCCGGCTCTTTGGGGCCAGTTGATGCCTTCATCTACGATACGCATTGATTGGAATCCGATGACGACATTCACGGTCGTCGATTATTGCCTGTTTCCAATATGTTGGGTCCAGTGATTGTGCGCGATATATGTCTAGATATGCTATGAAATATTACGCGGACGGCACAAATTAGATCGCAGAGTGGACTCGGAATAATTGGGTATACCGTACCATTGTAGTGTTTTTCAAGTCGAATTCGCGACCATACAAAAGCTTTTGATAGCCTGAAACTAACTGTTGCAGCGACTACTAAAATAAAAAAAAAGAATAAAGACGCGCGTGTGTTTTGACGACGAAAAAAAAAAACGCGAACAAACACTTTATACATGTCCAAGTATGAAAATAATTTTCACCGTCCTTCTTCGTCGAAGGTTTTTTACGCGTCTTTTTTCGCGGTCATCTTTTGAACTTGCGTCTTTATTCGTGCCTAGTGACGATATCTACTCAGGCAGCCAGGCGGCCCTTAACTCTGTCACTATAAATTCGGAAACAGTTGCCAACTGCCGCAGATCACGTGGCATAACAGTTTGCTTTGCACCTGACATGAATACCGGTACACTGTGATAGACCAGGAAATGAGACGGCCGGCGAGCTTTTAAGACGGGGTACTTCCATTCTATTTTCACCAGTCTGGAAGGGTATACTATGAAATTCGCTTTCTGCAAGCTATTATTAAAGAAATATTTCTTTGGAGAAGCGGGCAACATATGGACGGGAAACCTGTAATAGGATAAGGAAACCAAGAGAAATTCTAACTCAACAGAGGTGATATGTCATTGGTCATTGGCTGGCTCACAGGTCATATCGTCGCTACCATGTGAAACTATCGAATATGCAAAAATGCTTTTTTCATTTTGGCTTTAACAAAGTGTCGAATGCCACACTTTTTCCTAATGACAACAGCTTTTTTGCTCTCCTGAAAAGTACCCATTTTCACATTCGATAGTTTGACATGGTAGCGACGATGTCTTCTCGGACTCAGTCACAATGACTACTGCAGCTGCTAAGAAGATGAAGGGGCTGAATCAATCAGACACTTCCTCTGCGATTGCCTTCCGCTATGCAGGAAAATAGAGAAAAATCCTGGGTATAGGATTATTAGATGATCTAAGCGCAACTGCAAAGTTTCGAATACGGAAGTTGCTAACGTTTCGCAAACTCCACGAATTAGTGTGCAAGGAGTACAGGTCTTGGGATCCGTGTGGAATAACAATTGGCTCCTGACTTAGACTAGGGTGGCTAACCTAACCTAACCATGTGTATGCAGATCTCGTCCATGAGTTAATATAATCGCTTTCTAATGTGCCCACAAGTTGGCTGAGCTTTCGGCTGATGACCGTTGGGCACGTCCTGTCCGGTACCAGTCGAGCATACCTAATTAAGCAAGAAAGCTGTTAAATGTAACCACTAAAAATGTCAGGTTATTAACCGTCCGCATTGGTTGACGTCGACATGGTTGCCTTGTTTCAGCTTGACCTCCTCGTCTAGATCGTGAAAAGGGGCGCCGTTGATTTTGTATGGGAAAGAGTAAAGCTATATGCATTAGAGAAGCAAGAAAGATAAAAGATGTCCCGTATATCGCACCGATTTTAAATCGTACGATTTATAGCACATGCCCGATAGTTGTTTTTTTAAACGCAAGAACTCAGTGCCAATACTGGGCACGAATATCGAGCAGTCGAAAACCTGTGAGATCATTTAAACTCCCCCCTGTGACGGTGGAAGCGCCGAGATGCAGAAGTTAACAGTAATGGGGAGAGGTTCTTAGCTTCGAGGTTTGATCACGAAAGAGTACTTATGACTATCGAACACTCAGATAATTTCCCGTTCACCACTTTAGTCCTTTAAAAGTTGAAAAATTGTGAGCCTGGTTTTAAAAAACTTGAATGACAATCTATACGTCGATTCAAAGGTGGGATCTGGTGAAAATGAGGATTACGAGACCTGCACAGACTCATATTTTTTGGCATCGCATCGGGAAGACGGGACGCGCACATTACTTAGCACAAATCAGGAATGAGCACAGGCACTCAATTGTAACTCCATACCTATAAAAGCTTCATTACGCCATAATAAAGATTATCAATGCCACTGCGAATACCATTTGCAAGACCATTGACATTAGCCTCATTCTGTTGCCACCGCGTGCCAAAATAACTAATTTTTATTCAATGAGAGCTTCATAAGTAATTTTATATTTTTTTCTTTTTTGTTAAAAAAAAATTGTTTAATCTGTTTTTCGGTTCTTGCGACCATCGATTCCTTGATGCAAGAACAGCAAAAATATTATACATATGTTTAAAGCTTTTTAAAAAGTACGTCGCATCTATTTTAAGGTCAAAAAAGCGGGAAAACATTTAAAACTCCTATATTTGAAAGTCGTTTTAAAGGTTAAGGTATTTGTTATAGTTTACGAGATATTCGATTTTGTCACAAAAAAAGTTCATTTTCCACAGTGTGGTGATCGCAAACTTTCCCCCCTGGAGTACGCTTGCCGCAAGCGGCTTGCGTGGTTCGGTGGGCGAAAGGATAGTCTCAAATTGAGTTGTTCCCTGAAAATACCTCCACCTACCAGCCGTTTAATCATTAATCGGTCAGTAAAGACAGTTATGTCCTCTAAGCACTCCCTTAGTCCAATCAGTTCAGCTTAGAAATCTTGAGCGGGATTTGTGGTGAGTTTAGGTTCTTGGTATTATGTTGTCATTAGAAAGCGTCTTTACCTCAGGTGGCATGCAACTTAAGATGGCACTAAGCTTAAGTGGCCTTTCCTTCTAGTAATCTGGAGTTCGTATTCTGCTTGCGTTGAAATTTCAATAAAAATATCTGTAGGTAGTAAGTCGAGAAGAAATTTCGGAATCTCCGCTGAGCAGGATCTCATTGCACGCGTTGCACTGACAACTGCTGACCTCTGGGTTACTTTGTGAGAGCTCCAGTTCTGTACCCTTAAATTTGGGTTTCGCTGCAATAGGTTCGACATTTTTGGTGATATATTTTTCGACATATAGTTTATTTATATGACTATTTCATTAATTTAGTATTTTAAATATTGATAGAATTACCAGTTTCAATCGAAAAAAAAGTTTATTAATAAATATCTAATATATATATTGTGATCTAGAAAATTGGTGTTTGAGAGACTAAATAATAGAGAGACTTCGGTCACGTCAGTAGCAGAGGGTTAAGTACGAAAGACGTTAGACATATTGGTCTGAGACCCTAAGCCTACCGTTAGTTAAGCTTTGGTGGACAACTTTTTTCTTAACAAGAAGCAAAATTGTCTAGTTAGACATTTGATGGAACAAGCGCTTTATTTAAGATATTTCCCACGCGATTTATGTGCAAACCACTTAGAATCACGTTGTTAACAATTTGTAAAATGTGCTACATGAAAGCATGTTGTCCAAACAATTTTACCCATTCATTCTTTAAACGCCACCTACATATGCGCCTCGCATCTAAAATGAAAATAAATGTAACAAACAGTCACGGTTGCACAATTACATTTGCAGTTGAGTGCGGCCACAATGGACCGACTGCTGCACGTTCGCTGGAACACTTTGGGGATTTTCATTTTCTCCATTTTTACGCTCTCAACTCTGTGCTAGAAAAAGATTCAATAAATAACACAAGCTAAACAATTAATTTATTTATTCAACCATTTTTCGTCTCTACTGTAAATAAATATTTTAAAATATTTTCGCTTTTGTACACTTCCGCTACACCAATCCAACCCGCGCACGCTACTTTGCGCCATCCGCCATTTCCCTCGATGGAATGCCAACACCTCTTTTGCGCTGAACCTGTGTGTGCTCTTCGTCAACGTGGCACATCCATAACATAACATGACATTGCAATGAAAACTGCAACGCTACAATATTTACCACAAAAAAAAAAACAATAAAAACCGACAATGAAATGTGAAAAATGCCGAAAAATGTGCAACAGCGGCCAAATAGAGCTTTTAAAGGATTTAGTAGTGGCGTGCCTGTTAAGGGACTACACGAACAACAACAACAACATAGACGACGAGACCAGCAACAGAAGAAGCAGCAGCAGCAGCAGTGGCGTAAGCGATGACGACGTCGTTGACGTGGGTGGAATAGCCAAAGCTGTCACTGGTCAGCCACACTTAAATGCGACTCAGAAAAGCGTAGCACAAACAGAGGCAGAGAGCGAGGAAGAATATGAAATGGAAGGAAGTAAGGTAATGCCAACACAGCTTATAGTAGAAGAAGACACCTACACAGTGGCAGCAAGGGCAGCACGCTTGACTGCGAAAGGTTTACCGACGAAGGCGACGACGACGACGATGATGGCAAGGACAGCGGCACTGGAGACAACTTCGCAAGCACAAATCACCGAAGTGGAAACACTGTGCTTACCGAAAAATTGTGTCCTGCAAAAAGTTTTGCATCTACAATTGTTGGCCAAGGTGAGGAAATATGCAGTTTGAGTGTTGTATTTAGTGTAATGTCTATTTACACATATGAGAGTGTGTGTGTGTTTGCATAAATGCTGCTTGAAATAAGAAAGAACAATATGGTGCACCAATGTGGGATTTACATTCAACGAGCTGGTGATTTTTCAAGCCAACCATGGAACAAATCAAGACAAAGCGTAGTAAAACCAAATAAAAGCAAAAGAAAATAAGATAAAAAAATGGCAGCTTAAATAATGAAGAACAATAATAAACGCGACAAATGTTGCAGAATAAAGAATCAAATATACATATCTACATACTATATGCACATAGGGGTGGTCCTTAAAAATATCAACATCTAAATTTTCTAAAGGGCATCCATTTATTTTATTCTACCTACAAAATCAAGACATCTAAGAAAATTTAAATATTTAAACAAAAGTTGAGGTCACTACAAGAGTAGAAAGAATACTTTTTTTATCGCAAAATTTCGACGTTTCTTTTATCATATAACAAAGTTCTGTCAAAGAAACAAACATTTTTTTTTCAAAGTTGAAAATTTTCCAGATTTTGCAAGTTTATTCTTTGAATATCTCAAAAACAATTATACGTAGTTACCAAAGTCGTTCTGGCTATATTTGGGGCTATGTAAAAAATAAATTAAAAAATCGAATAACAGAATCTGTAAATTTAACAAATCGTATACACATTTTTGGCTCAGTTAATAAAATACCTCCCACTGATCTTAAAAGATCCTGAAAATTTCAAGAGTGTATTTGCTAAATAATAATAATAATGTCAGCATTGAAATCCAACGTAGAATCACTCTTGCCAACAAGTGCTACTTTGGACTGAGTAGGCAATTCAGGAGTAAAGTCCTCTCTCGACGTACGAAAACCACGCTCTATAAGTCACTCATCATGCCCGTGCTGGTATATGGCGCAGAAGCATGGACAATGACAACATCCGATGAGGCGGCTCTTGGAGTGTTTGAGAGAAAGATTTTGCGGAAGATTTACGGGCCTTTACGCGTTGGCGACGGCGAGTACCGCAGACGATGGAACGATGAGCTGTATGAGCTTTACAACGATATGGACATAGTGCAGCGAATTAAAATACAGCGGCTCCGCTGGCTTGGTCATGTCGTTCGAATGGACACCGACGCTCCAGCTCTGAAAGTATTCAACTCGGAACCCGCTGGTGGTAGCAGAGGAAGAGGGAGGCCCCCACTGCGATGGAAAGATCAGGTGGAGAAGGACTTGGCTTCACTTGGCGTTTCCAATTGGCGTCAGTTGGCACAGAGGAGAAACGACTGGCGTGCTTTGCTGAACTCGGCCAAAATCGCTTAGGCGGTTACAGCGCCAAAAAAGAAGAAGAAGAAGATTTGCTAAATACTATATATGAATTTTTAAATTAAAAAAAAACAAAAAAATATTTTCGTAAACTCCAAACTAAAAATAAATTTAGATAAAACAAAATTTTTTTAACATAACTTTACTTGGAGTTAAAAAAAAAAATGTTTCCCAAGTTCAAAAATGAATATTAAAAAAAACTTTTAAAATTTCAGGATCTTTTATGATCAGTTGAAGGTATTTCATAAAAAAAAAAGATTTTATAAGTTTTTATTTTGCCGATATTTTTAATTAAAAATTTTGTAAATTTTTTTATTTTCGAATTATTTTAAATACATTTTTTTCCTTTATAGCGGTATCACCTTTTAAACGAGACGAGAAGCATTGTTGTAACTATAATAGTTTTTGAGATATTCAAAAAATAAACTTGCAAATCCTGGAAATTGTGAAATTTAGAAATCTGCATAACTTGCGAAAAACAATTTTTTTTATTCCTTTGTCCATATGATAAAGAAAAGTTCTGGCCAAAATTCAACCAAATCGAAAATGATCGATTTCAATTATGGGTCGAATCGACGTTCAAATGGTTTTAGAAATTAATACGGACAAGATCGTCCATATCACCATGGGTCATGAAAAATAATATGAAAATTGATAGAGCCTATAAAGCCCTATCGGCGAAAGTCCATAGCGCTTACAAACCTTGTAAGTCTGCTGACACCTTCTTCGTCCATTTCTCTATGTTCGGCTCTGGATGAAAGCGCTTCCTCGCCTACAAGCTCGACCCCAGCGTCCTCGATAGCTAGGAAGGAATCAGCAATGTAGTCCCCCTGTGAGAATCAGTACGTATTAATCTCTTAGCAATTGCTATTGAGATGCTCTTGAGTACAAACATTTCTTGGGGATACCGTTTTTGGTTGGCTCTCAAGCAGTCTCTCAGGCGTCTTTAAAAGTAACTAGCAGGAACTAATTGGTCTGAAATCCTTAAGAGCCACATGTAAGACTTCTTCTGCCTTCGGTACGAACGTTTTGGATGATAGCCTGTTCCTAGGCAGCTCGCGTAGAGGGTTTGAAATAGTAGCTCCTTTATTCACTCGTTTATTCGGCGATATATAAATGTTGTTAAGAGGTATTAAGTCGTCAAGAGTGCTAGATATGTAAAAAGGCCGCTCTATCCTATTGCTTCAACGAACTGTATGACCTCTCCTAGCATTCATATGAATAAAAATGAAAGCTCCATAAAAAGTGATACCCCTAAAGTTTGCTTATATTTTTATTTTATTTTTTTTTGTGTGTGCTTGCATGTAAAATAGGAAAACTGCCACTCAAGTGGTTGGTCGCTGGTCGAAAAGTATGCAGCAAGTAATTTCCACTTGGATGCTGGCCAAGGTAATGGGAAATGAAAAGTTGCCACGACTTTGAGGCCACCACAACCAAAAAATAAAAAAAAAAATAAGAGAAAAAACGCTGCCTGCCACATACGTCAAAATGTGTATTCATTGCGAGTAATTGCATGTATTGGGCTTATTTTGTGCTTTCGGCCAGCGTTTGTTTGGTTGGCTTGTCAGCTTCTGCTCTTGGCTGCAGTGGCCGACTGCCGTTTGCCGTTTGCCTACTGGCAACTGTCAACTTTTGTTTAATTTACATTTCACAGTGTCGTCAATATTTCCTTTTGCATTCAAGTGACATTTTTATCGCATTTCTCATTCAATCTGTCTTTCGTTCTGCTGCAGCGCCATATGACCGATCTGCATGCTGCCGGCTATGCGAATAAGTCGGAAAAATCATACAACGCCTTAAAATCTTTGCTGCAACGTTCACGCAACCAGCCGGTGGCAGCAGTTGAGTTAAATCCAACGGAAGCATATCTACTGGGCGCCACTGCGTTGGACTGCTCTATTATGCTGGCTTTTCAGGAAATTTCACTTTGCAATCAAGTGCCACCACCACATTCGCAACCATCGTAAGTGGACTGATAATCGCATACAGCTGCCGCACCGTGCGTAATTAATGGCATTTTTAATATTTTTTTTTATGTTTTTTTTTTTAATTTCTTTTCAGAAACTTAACGAAGTCGCCGCTATCGAAGCATTGCGTAGTAATGCCACGCTACGGCAAAACTTTTCTCACCAAAGTAACACTGGTCGACTTGGATCCGAAGCCTGATAGTCACTTGTGTAAATATATTAAGCAGACCAGTCAGGCGCTCAACGTATTTATGGATGGTGGTTCATGTTGATCACGATGTGCAGACGGTGGCCAAGAGAGACACTCATCACTTGGGTGACTATTTGTTGAAGATCGAAAAACGGAAATACAGAAAAAGTTAACCGCGCGAAAATGTAAATATGCATTTATTAACGATTTACTTGTTTATACATGAATGTATGATTGTATATTTACATATATAGAGTATTTGCTCATATATGTACTTGGTACATATGTACACATATCGTCGTTAAAGTAAAGAACCGCGTTTCAAGTGATGCAAAACCTCGTATGTGAGGTTGCCAAAATTTTATAGGAGCGAGTAAGTCCTGTCGTATTTTAACACGGTTCTCTCTTTTATCCCTAATCCCACCTTTTATTTCCAAATATCGATATTTGGGTGTAAATAAATACGGCTTGTTGCCATTTGCATGCATCATTTTATAATACACAACATGTAGCTTGAATAAGTAATTAAAATAAATTAAATAATATACTGTATTGGTATAAATTTTTTGTTATTTAGCTATCCTTTTTAAGATAAAGGGAGTAGTTTTACGCTAAGAAATGTTTTTAAGTTCAAAAAGATACCTTGTCTTATATTAATAATAGACTAGTGAACCCGCATGGCGCTAAAACGCCTAAATTTAGCTAAAATTTTTGAAAAGGTTGTAACCCTATTCAAAAACCTAAAGAAGTATTCAAAATGTTATATTTAAATCGATCAAGCCGATTCTGTGTAAAGAGAGGTCAGAAAAATCACACTGTACCGCTAAAAAAGTTCTAAATTCAAAAATAATACCTTATTGTACATCTACAGGACCAGTTCTTTCATTTGACATCTAATTTTCGGATATGGATTGATTATAACTCCCCTTTCATCTTTTTCATTTTGTATTTATCCAATTTTCTTTGGAAAGCTTTCTATTTGTTAGCATTCTAGAAATTGGTTGTAACAAAATTAGTTGTTATAGTTTATTTTTCTAGTGTGACTATCCCACAGGTAAAAACCCGTAGTTATAAGACTCAGAGTATATAAATGTGATAACCAGAACAACTTTTTAAAATAAATTATATTTCACTGAAACCATATGGAAGTAGAGCTGAATTTAACTTAGTAGTTTTTAATTGTTTATTAGTGGTTTTAACATTTTTTACAAATTTGAGGTGCTCTGTCAAATATATCCAGAAAGCTCTAACTTTTGAACGATAAGCTTTCCCAAAAAAAAAAAATGTATATATATATATTTTTTTTCATTTTCAGGGGTTGACTTCTCCTTATATACTAACTTTTAGATTTTTAGCTTATCGTAAAGTTTTTTTCGACGCTGAATGGGTTCAATTTCAATTCAATTTTTTCAAACAGGTGGCAAACCTCTTCAAACACTTCAAAAATATTATAAATATTCAAACTTACGATTTCGTTACACTCTTTCGTTTGGCACGCATACATGTACTAATATTTCATATAAATTGTGTATTAATTAATTACGTACGATTTTTCAAACACATGGCAACCCTCTTCAAAAACGTTCAATCTACTACTCATTCTGTATCACGAACGATAGGCAAAACGAACGATTCGTCTGCAGACGACAACCTCTCTGATTGCGATTTTAAACTCTATCGGTCGCCTTCGTCTTGCTTTTCATACACTACGTTGCAATGGTCTCGGTTGCATTTAAACCGGCTAAAATAATGCCGCCGAACTAATTTTTGAGGCATTCCTCTGCAGACGAATCGTTCGTGTTGCCTATCGTTCGTGATACAGAATAAGGCTGTAAATACCGGTAAATGTCATTAAAACTTAGTACTTAGATCCTGAGTACTTGTGTCAGAGTGATGATTGGATCAGAGTATTTTTGAGCACTAAATACTTTCGGATTCTTTTCTGAGCACTCAGTACCGATACTTTTAAAAATCGGGTACAGCCGATGCTTTTGAGGAGCGAGTTCTGAGTACTTTTGGTATTGTTACTGCCCAACACTACAACGAACATGGAAAGAAAACGCGGCTAGAAATTCCCTACTCGGACGGCTGCCTTCAACATGTAACCAGCAGGGTGGTGAATTTCCACCTAAGCACCTTTTTAGTTTTCTATGTCCAAATGTCTATGCCTATGTATCAAAATACATATTTCAACTCAGCGGGTGACAACACCCCTTTATGTGGTTTCAAACCCATTTCGATTGAAGCCCATATTGTGCTAATTGATTTAGTTTTATGAATAATTTGACTTTCATTTTTTAAAAGTTGGCAAGCCCTTTAATTTGACACGTCACTTTTGATAATCGAGCGAACTTTGGGATCTGATGATCTGGACAAAACATCCTAGGCCACCCGTCTACCTCCTATAAAATGGAGGGAAATACTTTTTTTTGATTGAAAAACGCAAAAATATGGCCTACCAAATTGGGGATGCTCTTATCTTTTGTTGGTAGTACCGACGTCCGGTTCCGCCCAAAGGTGGGTTAAACTGACCGTATTCTGCGCATAAAAATCATAACTTTGGTCGGAAACTTGAATCCACTTCCGGTCTATAGAAGATGCATCCTCGATAGGGTAATTCATATTTTTTCCCATTTCCGGTGGAAACAGGAAGGCGGCAATACCACCAAAAGATTTGGTAGGCCATATTTCTGCGTTAAAAAAAATAAAAAATTCCAACCATTTTAAAGGGGCGGATGGGTGGTTTAGGATACCCTGTGTATACGCAGTTTTCACACATATACACATATGCAAATAAGCCTAATGTATGTAGGGTGCACTACAATAACATACATACAAACATACATACATACGTATGTACATATTAAGGTTTGCCTCAGAAAAACTCTTACATAAAACTGAGTGGTTGTAGAAGGACACTCCTTAATTAATTTCCATGCGCCTGCTGAGCACAAAAAAGCATAAATAAAATGCCATGCAAAGTGTGAAAGTGGCTGCCGTGCCCTGACAGGACAACTTTTAGAACAGAAACAACAAGCGACTAGCATAGGAAGAGTCATAGCATGTGGAAAAATGCTGACTTTAGAAAAATGTTTAGGAACTTTTGCTATTTAGTAAGGCAGTAGAAGTCAGCGTAGAAAGTTACCAAGTAGTTTTAATCTGGGAGCATGTTGTGAGTTATATTTTGCATTTTGTTATTAGGCCAAAAAATAGCAAAGAAAAAAAATTAAATTTTTCAGAATAGTAAATTCTGCATGAAATTGAAGAGTTAGCAGCAGGCACAAAAGGAGATGGGTAATAAAGTCGCTACATTCACAGAACAACAACTGGACGACTATCAGGTGCGGATTTTTATGAAATACTCGTAGTATTAAATTGGTTGTGCTGTTTCTAAACAAAACATTTTATTTCATTAACTGTCTACTATAAATGCGCTTAAATTGAATGGATTTTGAAGGATTGCACATTTTTTACGCGGAAGGAAATTTTACGGTGAGTTTATATGAATGTAATTCAGGATCCAAGTGGTTATAAGAATATTTAATAACAATGCGGACAGCAAGAGCGCTTTTGAATGTGTTGATTTTCGCTGAACAATTGGTCGCTTGTCGGTACATATTTGTGATATCAAAAGCCAAACGATAGAAAACCTTGTATTCGCACTTTTCAACATCACTCGAATTTTCGGGTATTGTTGCTAGAGCCCGTTTAAAAATAAAAGCATAAGTACTTTATTCTAAATTTATTTACTAGTGAATGCCCGTAAATACTTCAATTAGAAGCCTAGCCCCTTCCCGCTTATGGGAAACATTTGCTAGTTTATCAGCCGTAAGCGTATTGAAACTTCCTCTATATATGTAGGACCTCCTCATTGTTTAAATTTTCGCTTGAAGGCTTGACTCGCCGCCAGTTCTGAGCAACATACCACAGCTTCCACGTCTGTTTCCTATTTACTATTTGTGCTTCTTACACCTTTGTGCCAATCGACGACCTTTGAGATCATTCGTGTTGTAGGCCTTGAACGCTGTAGTCTACTCGATCGGAAAAAATGACGCCATACTACGATGCCCGTCCATTCTGAACTGAGGTGACCTCGTGGAAAAAAGCTATTCTGCTAAGTCAGCAGATGGCATTTGTAGTATGTTGTGTTGGGCTTCCATTAATGAGATCATACTTACGGAGACATTTTAGACATTCTCTTGATTAACAGCGTATATCTTCTTTCTAATAACAATTCGTCCTAAAAGTGCGACAACGCAGCCAATATGCCACATGTACAATCATGCATATTTTTGAGTAACGGTCAGTTATTATTTTTGCCTCATGGCGGACCCGCGACCTGTCAGAAACCCCCATCACAATGGAAACTTGTGACTGTAAGCAAATGGAACTCCTTTTGACGGGCTCTGATCCACTCACCCAGCATACACAGAGCTGACGTGAGGCCCGTCTATCTCAGAGTGAATGGCCGGTAGTCCATGACGCCTCCAACGGTTACCTACACTCAGCGACGCATTTGAGAGGGAGTTCCGGCAATCTCTAGCCAATTTTGAGGGCACTATCAGTGGACTTAGCATGCTGAATTCTATTTGGCTATTTGAGTAGATTACCTCCCTTATTGAATTTACACTCTTGACCAGCGTGTCTACTGCTTCTTTAATGGATACACTTAATGAGCAGTTCGCTAAGCTTCCATCCATCCCTCCCTATAGCTACTTTTCTCTATTCGAGCATACCACACGGTAGGTTTGTTAGGCCCACTTCGCAGAATCTGGGTTCAACCCCTTTCCCGAGCAACATCTAATTTAAAAAAAGGTTTTTTTTTAATGAGAGCTTATATTTTGTTCAGTATGACCTTAAGCACCAGAGTGGAAGTGGTATGCAATAGGTCACTGTAGGCTGCCCGTTGTACCCGCTCTAGCTGGCTAAGTAGTGTATCAGATAACATGATAACCATATAGGTGTGAATACCCCAATAAGGTTTCTTACAACCCCGTTCTTATCTAGTGATTTACCTACCACCTCCGGTATGATGCTGTTATTTAAAATCCCTTCGATGTCGAGGAACTATGCTACTTGAAAATTTTTATGAGTAAAGGCTTCCTCTAAACGCTTTCTAATTGTACGCAGGGTGATCTCTAACAGTCTTCCTTTATTGTAAACATGGTGGGTTTTACATAGACGATCTCGAAATAACCCATTTCTTATGTGCAGATCAATCTGTATCTCCAGTGTCTTTGGCAGAAACGAAGACAGACTAGTTGACCTGAATCTCTTCTAAATAAAACAAGTGAACTATTTCCGGCCTCCGCGATAAACAACACTCCGCAACATCAGTAGATGGAAGCCAGACACCTATGTATACCACACCGACACAGCCCAGCCCTTTACAAAGAATGATGCTTTTCAGTCGCAGGGATTTGAAAGGTTTCAAGAGTTTGTCACCCATGCCAGACGACTATTTTCCAGTACGTTGGTGCAATCTTCCCACCTTGCGCCCGCAGAGACCTTCCCTTGGAGTAGGTTAAAAGAAAAACTGACAGCAAAGGGATGCTTTACCGGCTCATCGCTGCTCATACGTGGTTCAGTTTTCTACCGCGTTACTCCAGTAGTGCAAGAGAGTGAGGCTCCTCACAAGAATTTGGAGAATTCGTTACAGCTTTATACGCTTTCGCAGGTTTTTCATGAAATCCGTTAGAAGCGTTCGAGGTGCCTACTACAACTTCGTAGCACCCGGGTTCGATCCCTGTTCCTAGCAACATCTAATTTAGAAAAATACGGTCGCCATTCGTCTGGCAATAGCAAATCTCCGAGTGTATTTCTGCCATTAAAAAGGTTCTCATAAAACCCATTTGCCATTCGGAGGCGGCAAATAACTGTAGGTCTCTCCATTTGTGTAAAAACATCAATAGGCAGGCTCCAAATTGGAGGAGCAGCTCGGCCCAACTCTGCGTACAAAATAAAGACAACCGCAAGAATTTCAAAATTAAACCAAAATTTTGTGTTCCTACCAGGATTTAAAAGAAAATAATATATACATTTTTTTTTCTTCAATTTTACAAAATTATTTATTTTGACGGCTTAAATTCATAAACTCGCTGGTCAAAGTAAAAATGTTAACGAATTTTTGCAATTTAAGAAAATAAAATTTTTTTCAACCACTAAATTTTGTTTAAAATTTTGAAATTTTCTTCGAAGTCTTTGTATTGTACGTATAATAAAATGAAAGAGTGACCCAATGTGTTGGTATTTTTTAATACCACCCTAGTATACATATGTAGATCTTCGATTATTTGCATACAAATCGAAAAGTAATTCACATCAAGCGCTTTGCATCCGATCCCTCCTTATTTTTTAATGCTTTGAACTCTTTTACAACCTTATCGGTTTCCACACATGTAAGCACGATCTTACGATTGAAACTTAAGGCCAAAGGCCGATTTCAGGTATGCTATCATATGGCGAATGCAAAAGTAAAAACCATAAATAGTGAATCTTCCAATTTAAACTTAAGATGGTAAATGTTAAAATAAAATAGAGATAATGCAGCATGCGCTTATCTGCCACTACTCCTCCTATTAGACTAAATGCATAGCTTCGCACTGACCTCAACATTGACAGCGAAATGCGCTCATAATTTTCACATTCGCCATTGTTAGCGTGGCATTGCATTGTTTGCCTTGCAACCTTTTGAAAACGCTTTATTGTTCGCATATTCCGCCTTCTCTTAGTATGAAATTCCTTTCTTCTTCCTTCGCGTCGCAGCAAAGCTTTGCATGCACATTTACGTTTCCGTGCCAGAAGGAGTGCTAGCATTCCAGAAAATATTGTCATTATAGTGGTAAGCTTCCTTATCAATTGGAAAGGCGAGCCAGCAACACATTAATGTCCAAACACATATTAAACTACTGGAGTGGAGCTTAATGTCTCGGACTATCGGAAAATTGCCAAAAATGTTTATGCGACTAAGAAAACAGCGCAGAATATAAAGCACATTGCCTCCCACGCTTGCTGGCGCTGCTGCTGCTGGCAGACGCCAAATTTTATTCCTCCTTTACATATGTATTTTGTTACTAATTCCTGCCGCTTCTTTGTTTTTATTTTTTTTTTTACATTCTTTCGCTTAGCGTTCATAAACGTTTTCGTGAGCTGCGTCCCGATTTGGTGCCACGCCAAATGACCGAGGGCCAAGCATCCAGTGTCAAGGTGCCGTGCGAATGCATCGAGAAGATGCCCGAACTGCGCGAAAACCCCTTTCGACGGCGCATCTGTGAAGCCTTCTCACGTGATGGTCAGGGCAATTTATCCTTTGAAGATTTCCTCGATGCATTGTCTGTGTTTAGCGAGCAGGCGCCGAGAGACATTAAAGTTTTTTATGCCTTCAAGATTTACGGTGAGTTCGTGCAGCGCAATTGCGCCCTTTCTTTTGTTTGTTGCTAATGCTGCTGCTGCTGTTGCTGTTTTGTGTTGCGGCTTTGTTGCTATGATTGCTTTGTTGTGTTTGCCAACGAATTATTGTGGACAACAAATTAATATACTAGTAGAAGTAGCTGTTGTTGTGAACGCCATTTCGGCGAATTTACTTCTATTATCTGCTGTGCTTGAGTTTGTTCTTGCGGCTATTGTCTAGGGTTTTGTCATATACATGCACATACATATATCCATTAGGGTGCCTCACCTAAAAAAAAGTTGCAATTTTTTCCACCGGAATTATAAAATTTATTATATTTTAAGATTTCCGCTATTTTCGGAAAAATATTAAGATTTTCTTGAGCTGAGCCGATTTGAAAAAATCTTCTAAGCTTAAATATCTTCTATCATCCGACGTGATTTTTTAGAGAAAAAACGTTTATCAAAACTTTCTAATAAATAGGTTCATATATAAAAAAAAAACTGTATTCTTGCAGGTACTTAAAAATCGGGTTTCTGAAATATTTTTGCAAAAGACTCAAAATATAATAGATTTTATGAATCCGATGGAAAAACAGTACCGATTTTTTTTTTATTATGGAGAGTGACGCACCTTAATATACATACATACATGTTTTGGCTTATTTGTGTTTTGTCTTTTGGTGTTTGCTGTTTGTTAAATTTTGGTTTTCAGTACTATTTACATACATACCCAACGGCGCTTTGCTGCCAAATGGGCGCGACCCAGCTGTCTGTTGAGCAGCTGATTTTGGAACTTCACCACGCATACTCATATATATGTACATATATACAAAAAATATTTGTCTTTCGGTATTCATGTGTGCTTTTGACATTTGAATATGCTTTGTTTGAAATTTAGTGTTCACAAATTTTTTGTTTGCTGTTTTTATTGTGACTTTCGGACTGCAGCTTCGGCACAATCTCTACCATCTATATAATATATTTACCCTTCTTATTTTTCGCTTTTTATGTGCACATGTACATATATAGCCACATACATATGTACATACATATTTGCCTACGTACATTCATATATAATGAAATAGTTAAATTGTAGTTGTGTGATGATTTTCCCTTTTGACGGAGTTCAAGGATACACTCACTGCTTTTATGTATATGGATGGGTACATGGGTACATATGCATCTATGTGAACCGACCGAGTAGACACACTATTCAACACAAATAGCAAAAAATATAATTTTTTTTTGTACTGCACGCATACGCTTTTAATTTAACTTATGCGCATGGAGAAATTTGTGCTCTCTAACGTTATCCACGGCGTATGATGAACATAGTGATGCTCTTAGGAGACAACGTTTGTTGAAGAAACATATATTTCACAAAACTGGAGGACTTTATCGAAATTATTTCAGCAGATAAATACGTTGTTACAAATCTTAATTTTCCTCTTTATTTTAGGCAAAAAGTTACTTTTTTCTAATTTTAGGGTTTTCTAGTTTGGTTAAAATGGCAGTGAAAAAGCTATACACGTAGATCAGAATAGATGTGTGAAAAAAATAAATTTATTAATAATTTGAATCGGTTAGGTTACGTTGGAATGGAATGGCTAGAAAGTAATATACCCCTTCTCTTATGTAGAGGAGTATTGCGACCACAGTGCCACCTAGCGATTAAACTTTTAGTTGGAATATTTTCTTTCAAGGTGCTTACATAGTCAAGGCTATCACAGAATCCATCGTAGCTTAGTTTTTTGTGAAATCTACGAAAGTGCTATCACAGAATCCGAATGGCTTAGAACGTAAATTCGAAATTCGTATAGAGCCTTCGTTAAATCTGTTCGTAATGAAGATTCGTACAGATACTCTATGAGGAGTTTATGCTGTCGGAACAAAATTTTAAATCGTGGAAAGAGCTGCATTATTGTTAATATTAAATATTTAGTACACTCCAAATTTGTTATAATTTGATATTAGTAGACGTAAAATATCAATGCCATACATACATATATAGGCCCCTATTATGAGTTGCATTCGATTTTCGACTGTGGTCGAAAGTGCTGAGCGAACGAATTTTCATTTGGTATTATGGCGCTCATTCGATGAAGAATAGCGCTATTGTGAATTTCGCTCGTTTAGGTTGTTCACAATAGTATATTTTTCACCGCTGAGAAGCTTTGTTTACAAATCGAGCAAACTAAATAGTGTGCTTATACATATTTATGTAAATTTGTTCTAATTAAAATGAAGTAAAAAAGAAAGCAAGTTTATAAAAACGTGGTAAAATGAGTACAACGAGTTCTGGTTCAACGATTCGTCAGAGGATGAGAGCTTAGTAAACTGGCCAGGAGTAGCAAATGTTTAAGAGAGTTTAAGTTTATTAGTCTTTCGAATATATTTTGATATAAAATATATTTAAGAAATTTGTGTACAGATTCATTATAAAGTTCCGACCATTTAAAGAGGCGTTTGTGAGCCAAATCTATTTAAAATATTTTAAAACTATCAACAGCGCTAGGATTTTGTTCTCAGAGATCGTGCCAACAGAGCATTGGGATTTTCTTTCACAAGTAAAACCAGCCTTTCGAGCTTGTGTTTAGTATTCACGATGTTAGAACTGCATGAAATTAATAAAAATTGTTTAAAATTAGTGTCTAGCCGCCAAAATGTAAGAAAACATATACAAAATCATACATTTTTCACAATTTTCTAACACTTCGTTACACCATCGAAAGCAAAATTCTGTTCGACAGAAAATTCGATACTCAACGAAAATTTCGATACGCCTGCATAGCTCATAATACGAATTTCACTTTCGATCTTCGATCTTCGATAGCCAGCGAAGATCGAAAATCGAAAGCAGCTCATAATAAGGGCCATAGTAGCGGCAGAAATAATACACTCACGTTACTTTGAAGAGTTTTGCCTAGATTTCTTTAGTTTATTTTATGTTTAAAATTTTTTTTTAAAAAGCCTAGGTAGTTATACAAGAAACATCATATAAATCCGCCTCTTAAACTTTGAACAAAAATTATAAAAATTCGACAAATTTTCACCAAATTTTCAAACTTTTGATTTAGAATTTTTAGAAAAAGTTCTAGTATGCAGTTTTGTAGCCCATTTAATTCTAGTATAATCAAGTTTAAGTTTCAAGTGGCTAGAAAATACCGTTGATTTTTGAGATTTTTTTGGTTTCAACAAATTTTCATCAAAATTTCAACTCTTTATTCCGAATTTTCTAAGCTTTAACAAAAACCGAGTAAATCACAGTTTAAAACTTAATACAAAATTTAGAAAAATTTACCAAATTTTCATCAAAATTTCAACTTTTTATTCTGAAATTTTAGAAAATTTTTGGTATGTAGTTTTATGGCTCATACAATTTTAGTCTGATGAAGTGCAAGTTTCAAACGGCTAAAAAATCGCGATGATTTTTGAGATTTTTTTTTTCGGTGACGGTTTTTTGCACTTTTTTCATATAAGTATGAATTGCTTATGAAATGAAATGCGGGAGACCGTCAGCAACAATATTTCAAAATATCAACGCAAGTTTTTGTAAATTGCGGTTGTTATATTAAAAAACCCGAAAAAGTAGCCTCCAAAAAAAAAATTCTCAAAAATTAACGCTAATTTTAAGCCGTTTGAAACTTGCACTTAATTAGATTAAAATTGTATGGGCTATAAAACTGCATTTCCCTGCAAAAATTCAGAATACAAAGTTGAAATTTTGATGAAAATATGTAATATTTTTTTTTTAATATTTCATCTGACTGAAGTTTGTTACACAGTTTGTTTCGAAACAAGGCTGCATGCAAACATGTATTTTATATATATATATGTGTATATATATACATGTATGTAAATATGTACATCAAAAATATATATGTCCATATATACACTCATCTTTGTCCATGCTTTGCTGTCCAGCATCATAAAAACTATGAAACAATAACAATTTCTCTTGAAGCAAATAACAAGCACATTTCCCTATTGTTTTCTTCAATTTTGCAAATATTGTTGCAGTCAAGTGGAAGGCTTAAAAAACAAAACTGGCACAATTGTGAATTTACAAGACAATCTGTACTTCTAGAATTAATACATATTTTATTAGCTAAAAATTAAAAGTGAATTTGAAAACAAAAGTCTTATAGAAACATTCCAATGTACCTAGGCAAAAAGTGGGGGAAAATCATATGTACATATGTATTTTATTATTTAAAATATTTTACAATTAGAGAACGTGAAATATGCTTATACGAGTATAGTTTCTTTAATAAGTTCTCAGAAAACTTCTATCTGCTATGTATTGTGCATGTGGTGTCAACAATTAGAAAACAAAAATAAATTTAAATAATTATAACCATATTGCACACAATAAGTCGTATTCAACAGTGAAACATTTGCTTTAAGATTGCATTGAAGCGCAGTGATTTGACATAAGAAATTGTATGTTTTCAAATTAGAAATAAATACAAACATTAGGGTGGTCCTTAAAAAATCAAATGAGCGATTTTTTTCAGTTTCACCCCTTCAATCGGTAATACCGCGGTCACACATATCACATACAAATTTTGGTCCCGATTGGAGACGGTTAAGACGTCTTCATAGGGTAATCTGAATTTTGACCCCTATGTGCCACGCCTTAACCGTCACCCAAGGGGGCCAAAATTTATAAATGATATCTTCGACTTAGGAAATCTGATGTTAAAATTCGCTTGATACATTTAAGGACCACCCTAACATACATATGTACATATTACTAACATGGTTCGAAGGGAAGATTTTGAAGCAATAGACAATTTTATCTCTAAATAATCATTAATAAAATGCATTTAATAGAGCTATCGTATTTCTTGTTGCAGGCGATTCCGTAGCTTTAACCTTAAAATATACATTTCATAAATTTTCAAGATATTCAAGAGTTCATATTAAGAGTTCAATTTCGGTTCTATAAGGCAGCAAACATCACTCTTCGGACACAAAAAACGCCGAAACACATAAACT